CTTAATAAGATAAGTATATTTTTAAGAAAGTATATAATAATATTTGAGACTTATTTATAAATAAGAATACTATAGGATTAATAATAAATTCCTTAAAGCTTTCTATATAGTATATATTTAGTAATTTACTAATACTTTCTCTATTAATATATAAGAGATTAAGAATACTCTAAAGCTAGTTACTAAGATTTATAAAATTACTAAAGGCAAGAAATATATTTCTATTATTTAAATAAATAAAGAAATATAAGATTTCTTTTTTAAGAACTAGGAAATTAAAAAATATAAATATAAATACTATATTTCTAATTAATTTTACCCTAATTTATAGCTCTAATTCAATACTATAGTTCCTATTCCTAAATCTAATATTACTAATCTAGATACTAATAGCTATATTTATAAGAAGAATTACCTAAAGTATTACGGTTATTATAATATATAGTACTAGTAGGGATTAGATTAGAGCTAGAGAGGTATCTGGTATCTAAGTAAGATATCTATAGTTACCTAATTATTATATATAACCCCGAACTTAAGCTAGTATATAGGCCTATATATAGCTTATAATTATTTAGATCCGAGGCTTCTTTGGGATTCTCTTCTCTCTTTAGCTTTAAATTATCGAAATAGAGATAGTCTAACTATATTTTCCAGGCCCTAGATTTTATACTTATAATATAATTCAAAGCTTACCCATTTCTTAATCTTATAAAGAATTTAAATAATATCTACCCGATTAGTTTTTAATAAGTATAGATATAATATACCGTAGCTATTCCCGAACCGGTTAACTAATATTAGAATAAAAGAAAGCCCTAGAATAACTAGGCAAGAAAGCCCTGGACCGGCCAGGTAAGTAAATAGGCCAGTAACCTTATTACTAAATAAAGATCTATAAAAAAGCAAGTTCCGGAATAACTAGGCAAGTTAGAAGAAGCTATAATACGAGATATTACTAGTATACTACCAGAAGATAGACTAGAGCCTTTTATTAAGTCTCCTAAGGGATCCGAATATTCTATTAATATTTATAATAAAAGAAATATTCTCTTCTAGAGAGTAGAGAAAGAAGAGGAACCTGCCTTATTAAAGGCGGAATTCCAAGAGTTATTTCGGAACCCAGAGGCTTTATATAAAGAGATTATTAAGCTAATTCTAAAGATATATAATATCCTTACCTATAGTAAGAATTATTAGAATTAGCTAAGAGAAACCAAGTAAGTCCTATAAAAGAATAAAGCCATTATTAAAAAGCTTATTATATAGCCTGCCGGAATAACTAGTTCTCCTACTTTAGAAGATAGATACTTAGTTAAACTCTCTAATTCTCCTATTTTCGAAGATATAACCAAGAATAGTATTACTTTTAATAATTAGTTAGTTCAGATTAAGAATAAGCTTTGTAGTAACTCTAATACCTATTAAATAGAGGACCTTAAGATTATTTATATATCCGGCTATATAAATAGCTATACCCTTATACTAATTTCTTTCCGCCTAAACTAGGATAGTTAATATATATATAAGACTATTAGGGAACTATATATCTATTTAGAGAAGCTATATAATAATCCAAATAAAAAGTATAATACTTAGCAAGCATTTAAAGAGCTATTTATAAAGAAGGGCCAGACTTTTTAGGAGTTCTATATCCTATTTCTGAGATATATAGCAGACAGAAATATTAATCCGTAGGATCTTAAGAATAACCTAAATAATAAGCTTACCTAGAAGTTTCAAAAGGCTATAGCTATATACTATAATAACCCGGCCATTTATATTATAGAGTTTATATAATACTATACTATAAATAACTAGTAGATCCGAGCTTACTATAAAAAGAAAGAATAGGTATCTAAGAAAGCTAATAAAGATACGGATAAGCTAAGCTCAGGAAGCGCCCCTTATATAAAGCCTGCTCCCAAGACCCTAGTAATAGACAAGCCTATTACCCTAAAGCCCGGATTCTTAGATCTCAAGTACTATAACTATAATAGATTTAGTTATATATCTAGGAACTATTTAGAGCCCAAGATAAAGTATATAAAGCAAGTTTTGGCGGCCAAGCTAGCAGTACTTACTATAAGTAAGCTATTTAAGAATATAGAATAGGGAAATAAGAACCCCTAAAAGAAGTCTCCTCTTTAGGGCTATATTATATAGATATAGCAGAAGTTAATTTAAGCTAGTTACTAGAAAATAAAGCATTTATATTCCCTTATATAGTTAGTAATAATAGATTAGGTATTAAGACTTCTTCTTTTATTAATACTAGAATAAATAGATATACTTTTATTAATTCCAAGTTCATAAAAATAATTAAATAATTTCTAGATATTAAGCCTATTTAATTAGTATTACTCTATAATATAAGGGGATTTAATAATAAGCAAGCCATATCTATTATTTACTATATTAAGCTTATGCTTTTAATTAATAAACGGAAGGTCCTAGTACCTATACTAGTTATAGGGCTAGGCAAGTATAATATAATTTTGGGATAATAGTAGTTTATAAATACTAGTATTCTAATTAATTATAAGAATAGAAGATTAATCTGGCTAGATAATTAGCCTAGAAAAAAGGGTTAGAATAAGGTCCTAACTACTATATATAAGAACTTGGAACCTAGAAAAAGTAATTAGTATTAAGAAAATATAAATAGAAGGAATAAAGCCATAGTTATAAATAAGTTCTAGAGATCTTAGCTTATAAAGAGGAAACCCTTTTATTCTCTTCCTAACCCGGGCTCAGAAAGCCATATATAATAAAAGAATTAAGCTTAATACTATAGAGAAATACAAGTAGCCTTAGGAAATATAAAAGTTTCTTTTAAGCCAGAAATAAGGATATTAAAACTATATTATCTAAAGGAAAGCTATAAGATCTAGTTAAGGCCCTCGGTTAATATTACAGGTATCTCGCTAGCTACTTTCCAGATAAACCTATAGAAGAAAGAGAACCTTTTCTTTATAATATTATTTTTCGAGATTAATAAAGAGCTAGAATTATAGTAAGAGAACAAGTTCGTTCCGGGCAAGTAATAGCCAAGAGAAACGGAGCTATAGTAGTTAGTAAGAGTCTTACTAGAGGAGTTTAAGGATTTTATAAATATCTTATTCCTATATTAACTATATAACTATAAGATTCAGATTAATAATCCCAAAGGCCTAGAGAGCCTAGGATATTTCCCGCTCTATTAATAGTTAATCTATAAGCTATAGGAGATTAAGTACTTCCTTAAAAAGAATCTCTAATAAGGCTTTATTAAGCCAAGCTAGTTTCCTTTTATATCCCCGATCCTTTTTATAAAGAAGGCTAACGGAGCTCTCTGATTCTATATTAACTATTATAAGCTAAATAACTTAATATAGAAGAACTATTATTCTCTTTTCCTTATTTATAAGACTTTTATATGGCTAGCTCAAGCCAAGGTCTATATAAAGCTAGATATTTGGCAAGTATTTTATTAGATCTAAATAAACCCAGAATTAGAAGAACTCATAATATTCCGTATAAGATATAGGGCCTATAAGTATAAGGTTCTTTAGAAAGGCCTGACTAATAGCCCTACTATATATTAGAAGTATATAAATAATATCCTCTTTAATTACCTTAATATCTTTTATATAGCTTATTTAGATAATATCCTAATTTACTTAGATAATTCCCTAAAATATAAAGACTATATATAAAAGGTCCTTTAATAGTTACGGGATACTAGCCTCTAAGTAAATATTAAGAAATTAGAGTTTAAGGTTACTTATATAAAGTATCTAGGCTTTATTATCTCTACTAGAGGTATTAAAGTAAATCCAGATAAGATAATAATTATTAAGAACTAGTAATTACTAAAGATAATTAAAGAAATATAAGGCTTTCTGGGTTTTTATAACTTTTATTAGTATTTTATTACGAAATATAGCCATATAGCAAAGCTCCTAATAGCTCTAATATATAAGGAAGTTCTGTTTAAGTAAATAGATTAGTATTAAGAAGGTTTTACTAAGCTAAAGCAAGCTATATTCTCGGTACTAATTCTATATTACTATAACCCGAACCTCCCTACTATAGTTAAGACAGATATATTAAATAGAGTTATAGCCAGTATTCTCTTATAATAAGACCTCTAGATAGGACTCTGGTATTCGGTAGTATTCTTCTCTAAGACTATATAGTTAGTAGAACTAAACTATAATATCTATAATAAAGAGATACTTGCCATTATTCTCTCTTTAACTAAATAGTAAACGGAGCTAAAAGGCCTATAGAAGGTACCCTTTATAATTTACTCAGACTACTAAGCTCTTAAGTATTTTATAACTATAAAGAAGCTCTTAGTAAGACAAGTTTACTAGGTAAAATACCTTTCCTATTACTATTTTAAGCTTATATATTAGACAAGTAAGTTAAATAAATAAGCAAATACCTTAAATAGGAAATATAAGAATATAACTGCCTAGGATAAGGTAATAGTAGCTTACTAAACCCAAATTCTCCTCCTATAATAAAAAATTAATAATAATATTATACGGGATCTCTAGTTAGCCCTAATTAAGGCCTTTATAAGCCCGGCTTAGGAAGAAACCTAGTATAATAGTATTTGGCTAGTAAATAAGCTATTAAATAAGAACCGAGAGTTACTAGAGCTAGAAGAGCTACGGGATAAGGCAAGAAATAAGAAGGAAGGTACTTGGATATTATAAGACGGCCTTCTCTTATAATATAGCAAACTATTTATATCTAATAGTATAATAATACCCGAGATACCCTTATATATTACCCTTATTTAGGAGATATATATATAGCCCCTAATAGAATACCTAGGACAAGCCAAGCTTTAATAGCTTTTTTAGACCCGCTATTACTAGCCAGGCCAAGATATAAATATTAATTAGTATAGGAATAATTACTATACCTACTAATAATCCTATATCTCTAGAGATAAGAAGCCAGGGCTCTTATATCCGTTACTAGTCCCTAATTACCTCTAGTAATATATATTAGTAGATTTCAAGAAATACCTAGAGAATAAGAATAAGTATAATATAATAGTAATCTTTATTAATTATCTGGGCAAGCGCCCTATTATAATTCCTGTCTGAGATATAGTAATAGCTAAAGAGTTAGTATTTCTATTTCTTACCTATATAGTTTACCAAGTTAGTATCCCGGAGACTATAGTATCTAATTAAGGCCTCTAGTTTATATTAGATTTCTAGAGCGAGTTCTATAAGTATATTAGTATAAAGCTCAAATTATTAATTACTAATTATTCCCAAACTAATAGCCAGACAGAGATTATTAACTAGTACTTTAACTAATAGCTATATCCCTATATAAATTACTACCAGGATAATTAGGATAAATAAATAATAATAATTAATTACTAGTAGGTAGCTCTAGTCTATAAAACTATAGGCTAATCCCTATTTTTTATAGAGAAGAATTATAAACCGCGGATATTATTTAACTAGGAAACCCAAATATAATCGGGTATCCTAAAGAAAGAGCTAAATAGATAGAAGGCAAAGGCCCTAGTAATACGGCTTTATGAATTATAGTAAAAGGTATAGGAGAATATAATACAAATATAAGAATACTATACTATTTAAGCTAATAAGTACTACTAACTAGTAGACTTCGGAATAGGAGATAAGGTATGAATTACTACTAAGTACTAGAAGAATAATTATCCGAGCTATAAGCTAGCTTACTAAATAGAAGGACTATACGAAATCCTGGAATAAGTAAGATATTTCTTTAGGCTTAAGCTTCCGGAATTAATAAGAATATATCCGGTATTCTATATAAAGAAGCTATATAAAGACCCAGGCAACTCCCTTTCCGGATAAGTAAATCCGGAGCCTCTGTTATTAGAATTATAAGATAGGGAAATAAAGTATAAAGTTTAAAAAATATAAATAATAAAACTGCTTTATAGGAAGCTAAAGTACCGAGTCTAGTAGAAAGAATAGGACCCAGATCCGGAATAATATCCCGCTTTCTTATTAAATAATAGTACCCTAGCTTTTTAGAGCTTCTATAATAAGAACCCCGAATAGCCAGGACTGCCCCAGAATCTCCCCTATTAGTTAGACTATACCAAGAATAATATACTACCGGAATTATATAATATGGACAGAAATCCTTTAAAGTTATATATAAAAGGCCCTGGCCTTTAATATATAACCTGCGACTTGGAAATTCAATAGGGACTTTCGAAGCTCGGGAACAAGCTTACTTCGAGAGGGGGGGGGTAATATTATAGTTATTACGATATATGGTACTAGTAGGGATTAGACTAGAGCTAGAGAGGCATCTGGTATCTGAGCAAGGCATCTATAGTTACCTAATTATTATACGTGATCCCGAGCTTAAGCTAGTATATGGGCCCGTATATAGCTTGTAATTATTTAGATCCGAGGCTCCTTCGGGATTCTCTTCTCTCTTTAGCTTTGAATTATTAAAATAGAGATAGTCTAACCACGCCTTTCAGGCCCTAGATCTTATACTTATAATATAAAATAGATTAAGAAGCTTAATATTTAAAAGCTCTTAATAAAAGAAATAAAGATATTATAGTTCTATTTCCGAAAAGATAATATATTAATATATAGAAATCTTAGTAATAGCTACTTTATCTTAGCCTCTTAACTTTTAATAGTAGATCTATTAATATGGCTCGGATTTTACGAGATATTAAATAAGTATCTTATTTATTTAATTATTTACTTTTAGCTAGCCTAATACTTTATTTTTGGAAATATTAATTATAATTAGTATAAAGGTAATACTAAAGATCTAGCTATTACTAAAGCTTTAAGTAATAAATTCTATCTTAGTAAAAAGCATTAGAATATTAGTTATATTTTCCTTATAAATTATAAAAAGGCTACTATTTTTAATAAGAAGTTTTTTAAAGACATTAATTACTTCTTTATTTCTAATAAATTTGAGCCAGAAATAGCTAAGGAAATAAGCAAGTATTTACTAAAAATAATAGAAAAAAAGACTCTAAATATAATTTATTTAACTAGATAGATAAATGCCTTTAGCTAGGTAATTTACAAGTTTGGAATTATAAGAAAGTATTAATTCTCGAATAATATATAAGTTAAAGAATAGCTTAATAATAATTTACTATTTAATAGGCCTTTTACTATAGTTCTAATAAGTCTAGTTACTATTAAAAATAGAATATACGAAAATGGAATCTCTTATAAGATTATTAAAGCCTCTTATCTAGAGCTTTTTCCTCTTACTAAAGGCTAATTTAAGGATATTATAAATAATATAAAATTCAAAGAAGTTATTTATTTAGAATATATTAATATAATTTATAATATAATTTGCTATAATAAGCCTTCTTAATACCTAGTAGTAAAGGCGGAAATTAAGTAATAATTAAAGGCAAATACTAATTAATATAAAGAATTATATCGGATTTAGTATAAGAATATAGCTAAGCGAGTTCGGATTACCTTTAAACAAGTTCGGGAATACGAAATAAAATTATTTAAGAGTAATAAGTCTTATTTTAGGTATATAGAAGAGAAATTAGATTAATTAATAAAGGAAAATCCTAAATATTTCGTTATTTCGGATTCTAAATAGGATTTTTTTATTATTTTTAGTATTTAGGGAATAAGTATAAATAAATAAGAGGTCAAATATAATATAGCAAGCTATACTTATTAAAAATTATATTATTTTAGTGGTTTTGAGATTTAGGTTATATAATAAAGACTATAGCCTTTTATATATAACTTGCGGAAATCATATAAGAAAGCTAGTTTTTCTATAGACTTAGAGAATAATTCTTTATAAATATTTAATTAATTAAGCTTTTATATACTATATACTATTTATACTTTACTATTTATGCTTTTAATTTATTATTTTACTATTAAGTTACGTTTTATACTCTAATATACTTTATATAGGTTTTTGTTTTATTATAGTTTCTTTCTTATATTATATAAAGTAATCTTTATTTAAATAAATTCTTTCTTTAATAACTAATACTATCTCCTAATAGCTTATTATAAATTAACTCTATTATATTAAATATATTACTATTTCTAAACAAGAGAATTATACTAGATTAAACTCTAAATAATAATAATAATATATTTATTTAAATTAGATATCTTTAATAAAAACAAGAATTCTTTAGTTACTTATCTATTTATAAGGCCGAGATTAAAGCTATTATCTTATTTCACTTCTATATAAAGAAGTACTAAGCTAGTAATATATAGACCTAATTATCTAATAGCTATAATATTTATATATTTATTTATATTAGCTTATTCTCTAATATATATTTAATACTTATTCGGATTTCATTATCTTATAAAGTTAGAGAAGTAAAATCTCTAGGTAATATAGATAAGAAGCTTTATTATAAAATTACTTTATATTTATAAATTCAAGAAAACTATCTAGAGATTTTAATATTATATCTATTTGAATTTAGGTTTTCTAATAGCCAGATTATATATTTAATAAAGCCTATATTTATTTCTATTTAGATATTTACTAATTATTTATTATATTAGTTTATAGCTCTAGAATAAATACCTCTTTTTACTTAATTAATATAGTATATAAGAAGAACCCTGCTTTTATAACTTTAATTTCTAACTTTATACTAGTATATTAGTATAATAGCTAGTATTATATAATTAATATAGATATGGTTTTAGCTAAAGGAATTAGTTTTAGCTAAGGTTCCAAGCTATAGTTTAAATTAAGCTCGCTTTTAAAGCTCGGTATTTTAGTAGTCTTGGCTATACTTATTTATTTACTACTATACCTCACTTCTATTCTTTTTAGCTTTAAATTCTCAAGATATAGGAAATTATTAATCTTTAAGCCTCATTTTATTACTTTATTCTTGCTATTATAATTAGCTAATAATATTAAGATATTCTAAATACTAGCTATATTATTATAAGTAAGGTTTTATAGAAAAAAAATACTCTCTAATATCTGGGAGGCCTTTTATTATAATAAAACTCGCTATTTAAACCTTTTTTATAGCTTGGCTCGGATTATTCTATTACTAAATAAATTTCCTTTAGTAGTAATTAGGTCTCTAACTTCAAATAATTAAGGCTTTATAACCTTAACTAATTATTCTCTAATCCTATAACTTTAATTATTAGAGAATAAAGGTATCCCGACTACTATTAGTAAAAGCTTTACTTATTTAACTATAGAATCTTACTTTCTTGATTTTTTTAGTTATTATAATAACTATATTTCCTTTTAGCCAAATTCTATTTATAACTAAAATAATAATTAATAGTAAATAGCTACTTTAACTATAATACATATAATTCTTTATTACTTTTCGCTATATAATTCTCGTTACGAGTCTTTTATTTTTACTCTTATAGATCTTTATTAGAGTAATATCTTTATTAATAATAACTAATATATTACCTCTCTAATTAACTTAGAATAAGTATATTTCCTACTAATTTAATTATAATACCCTCTATACTAGCTTTCTAGACAGGCTATAAATAAGATAAAACTAGGTAAATATCTTAAGATATTTTATTAACTTATTTTAAAATATCTCGAAGCTTTTAAATAAAAAGAAAAAAGTATAATTAGAAAAGTATTATATTAAGTACTAATAATAAAAATATATTAGAAAACTAGAAGCTTTTAGTACTTTTATATAATAAATAGCCCTAAAGAATTATATCGAGTCTTTACTAAGTATATCTAATAATTATTTTATTTATAATACTATAAAATACAGATCTTTAATTAAGTTATAGTCCTATATTAGTATATTAGTATAGTATAGATAATTAAGGGAAAGATTAAAAAAGAGAAAAGATATAAGAACTAATTAAAAGAAGTATTTAGAACTAAGGTAATTCTAACTAAGATATAACCTGAGCTTATATTACCTTAATATAATAGTAGGTAATATAGTATTAAGGAAATATTTTATCTAGTCTAGTTTATATAAGGCTCGGACGGCGGCAGGATATAAATTAAAGGCCTATTTTATATTTAAAGCAAATAGTTATATAATTTGCCTATAAATAAATAGTAATTAATATAAATATTATTTTAATAACTTATCTAACTAAGTTCTATATAAAAGGAACTAGGGACAGAAATAAGATTAAAGTACCTTATCTTTCCAGAAATTAAGAATTAGAAAGCCTAAAAATAAAGATAGTATTTCCGCCTAAGCCTTTATAAATATATATTATAAGAAACTAATAACTTAATAACCTATAATAGAAGATAGTACTTGAAAAATTCCCTGTTTTCTAATATTACTCTTATTTTACTTTTTTGCAAGCCTATTCCTATTTAGAAACTCGATTCTATTACTCTCAGATTTATTAGAAACGGTATAATAACTAGTTATAGTAGTTAACTTCTCCGGGATATTACTCTTATTAGTATTAAAAGAATATTTATCCGAGAGATCTATTACTAGCTTCCCTATAGCTCTATTTCAGGCCTTAGTACTAAGTCTTATTATATCCGGCTCTAGATAAAGAAATATTATAAAAATATAACTAGTAAATAGTTTAGTAACTAATACTATAACAGTGCCTAATATATCCCAGAATCTGGAGCAATTAATCGAGGTTCTCTGAGGTTAGTAGTAGTTTATATAAGAGGCAGAGGAACTAGAGCCAGAAGTGGCATAAATAATTAATATACCTATATTATAGATAGTACTAGTTATATAAATAATATAAGACTATTATATAAAATAATAAATAATTATTTATTATTTTCTCTAGTTTAATATTTATAGTATTCTCGGTATAATAGAAGAAATATATTTATTATAATATGAACTAATTTAGGGTTTCTGAATTATTAATAGAATCTACTCTAATTAGCTACTACTATATTAGGAATACTCTATAAACTAGGAATATATATATAATTCTGGTTTTCCAAATTCTATATATTAGCTAGTAAGCTATTAAACTATCTAGGATATACCTACTAAGCTAGATTATCTCAGTAGATTCTTATATTAATTTCCTCTTAATATATAATCTATATTATATTATCTTCCTATAGCTATTATTAATAATATAATTAGAACTATCTTTAGTATTATCTACTCTTATAAGAAAAGGTAATTCCTTAATATTCTAATATAATATTTGGATTTTATTACCTCGGCTCTAATAGCTATATAGAGAGATCTCAAACAGAAATAAAAGATATAATTGCTTTTTCTATAAGGAATTAGTTTAAAGGCAAGAAATAATTATAATAGTATTTTCTCTTTGCTTTTTAATAAACTATATATACTTTTCTTATACGAGAGTATTTAGTTCAAAAGTAAGATATATAAAAGTATTATAATTAAAAGCAAGAGTTATAATTATACTTTTTCTTTGCCTTTTAATAAGGCTTATATACTTTTCGTATATAAGAGTATTCTTTAGTTCGAGAGTAAAAGTTATAAAGATAATTATTATTTTTTCTATTATACCCGATCTTTACCTTTTAATAAGGCTTATATACTTTTTATATATAAAAGTATTCTTTAGTTCAAGGGTAAAAGTTATAAAGATAATAGTTATACTTTCTATTATAATTACTCTTTGCCTTTTAATAAGGCTCATATATACGAGAATATTATAGTTAAAGGTAAGGGTTATAATTATATCTCTTTGCCTTTTAAGAAAGCTTATATATACGGATTTAATATATAATATCTATTATTACTTTCTCTATATTCTTTATATTCTTCTTCTTCTCCTTTTTCTCGGTATTATTAAAAGACTAAACAGGTTTAATTAATAGCCCGGCCTCAGTTTCTCTTTATAAATAGCTTATTAGATTTATAATATTATTAGATTATTCGTTTTACTTCGAGGTAAATTGGAAATTCATTTAAAATATCTATTCTTAATAGAAGTCGGTATTTATAGAATAAGATATAGAGGCCTTAGGAAAGGGTCCCTAATCTTCCTAGCTACTAATATACCTGAGCCCCTTATATATACCAAGCTTAGTACCATATTCTTTTA